TGCATGTGTGTGTGTGTGCTAATTATTATTGAAATATCAGTTGCTTGTAGGGTTCTGGGGATCTCGTAGTCGAGCAGTCTCGACTAGAGCTTTCTTACTTGTTTAATCTTTATTATTTTGCGGTCTTCGCTTACGTTTTCAATTCAAGTCTTTTTTCACTTCACTTTGTAACAATCCTCTTAAATTTATCCACTTAAACTAACGTTAATATGCGCTCCTCTCGGCGGCCACTTAGTAATTTACACTTAAACTCTACTTTAAACGCTAATTTTCCCTGAAACTAAAGTTTTGAACACTTCCGCTCTTCTCCACGGTCATTTCTTAACTCCCACTTAAGCTAACTTAACTCTCTTTCGCCGCTGACCCACGGGCAAAGCGCTCGGCGTCGGCAGCGCAACTCTCCACTGCAAACTCTCCACGCAGGGTCACGCCGCCGACCGCCGATAATTCCTTCGCCCTTTGGGCGGCCTTTTTAAATCGTCGTTTAAACTGCAAATAAATGTTTCGAATTCAACTTATGCCTAAGCAATCTTAATTCTACTTAATTCTACCAGCTTTTACCATTGCAAATATCTATGACTTAATGGTAATCCTTATTCTAACTTAACTAACTAACTTCTATTCTAACTTAACGCTACCAACACCTATTCCTAATATATACTCGGAAGGCGGCGATTGGTGAGCCGCATTACAGCATAACCGTTTGGCTCTCTTTGCATGGTCCTCAGTCTAGCCTGGTCACACCACTTTTTTCTATATCTCTGAATATACGACATCGCCATCTTGCGCGACCCTTTAAATAAATAATTTGAAAATCCATAACACGTTTTTTTCTATCTGGAAGCCAACACTGCAACACAGATGTTACATGTTGATCAAGGTGACGTGTTGAGTCGAGTCCGTCGTTTGTACAATCCGTCTTTTTTTCCGTCCTAAAAACCAAAAACCCAAGTTAAATCTTTTTTTTATTTTAATAAGATAGTAGTTTTTTATAGATTAATTTGCCAAGCTTAAAAGTATTGCTGATCCACGCTTAATCCAATATTCCGGCTTTTCATTTCCAGACTTTAAATCAATAGCGATTATAAATGATCCTGATCGAATTGGATAGTAATAGGCGGGACAATGATAAATACCACGAGATCTCTTTTTAAGATTTTCTACTGGCTTGAAATGAATAACTGGTAATGGACAAATGAGTTCCATAGGTAGTGCGTCTTGAAGACATTGGTTTTTGCGCAGCCAACCTGCGCCCTCAAGATATAAATTGTGCACATATGCTCCACCACCTTCCCGAATAATGCGAGCAGCATTCGCATCCTCTTCAACGAAAACGAAGAACTCCCACGATAATTCATCAATAGGAGTCTTCGTTGCACGAGCTGATGTTTGTAACACAGCTGTGAGAAATCCAGTTGGAAAAGTATATGCAGCTAACCAAAATAAGGAAGGGGAACGTAATGTTTTGGCCCAGGCATTAAAATGTGCAACCCGAAGTGACAAATCTCTTGCCCATGCAGCCAAAGGTTTAAGGGAATTATATGCTAAGTAACAATAAATGAATTCAAATAATCATGATAGACATAAGTGCACACCTACCTTTCAGCCATTGAAAAGGAACACGGCCTTCGGAAACTGCTGTATATATATCTTCCAAATCCGAACTCATTACCACTAACCCCTGTATTCCACGTCGTAAATTTCGTAATTGAGTGCGCATATCATCTAGTAAATTATTATACCGTTCAATTTCTTGCAGCAATACCACTTCTAAGGGAGTACGAATTAATCCTATTATCTTAGCTGTCTGTTCATAGTTTATTTCATCAGGTGTGTTTATTAATAATTCCTTTGCCAAATCAGAAACCTTATTTTCAGCATTCTCTGTACCATCTGAGCCTGATGATTGGACTTGCATAGAAAGCAGTGTTGTAAAAAGCATTCTCGTTTCTCCAATTAAGGAGGCTATATCGGCATTTGAATGCTGCCCAAATGCATCAGGTTTATCGAAATTGGGCCACATTTGAATTTGATCCAAATAGGATTGGACGTCTCCATCATCAGGAATAAAATAATTTGACAATGACGACAATCTTTAAAGTAATAAATATAAATATAAATATAAATATAAATATAAATATAAATATAAATATAAAT